CAATTGACAGCCCACTGATAGTGCTGGATTTATGCACCAATTTGCCAGCTCGCGCGTGCAATCCGCAGCTACCTACCCCCCGCCCCCCCTCAATCACCGGTGAACGAAACTGCGGCAGCTACAACCACTGTACGACGAGTACGCGGTTCTTACAGCTGACAATGGTGATGATGACAATATTCGCTAAACTCCCCAAAAACGTCCGTACACAAAGCGGCGTCCGTCAGGGATACCAGCTTCACTCCTATGTAATTTTGTGATCAATGAAATAATAAGATGAACGCTGGAAGGTCTTCAAAATCTCGGTGTTCAAGTAACTTGTGTTCAAATAGCCTGCAGACGATATCGTTCTCGTCTTCGAAGAGGACAAGAAGGCACAGGTGTTTTTAACTGAGCTGGCCAAGTCCATCCCGTCCTTTGGTATACACTTTTCACCCACAAAGTGTAAAGTCATGCTCGTGGATCTGCAGTTATTAAAAACGCTACTTACAATCCAGGGCGAGACACTAGAATTTTTGGAGCGTTTCACGTGTCTTGGAAGTTGTATTAGTTCTGACTGTAGTTTGACAGATGTGGTCGATGCACGAATCTCCAAGGCCCTAGTCACGTTTGCGAATTCGAGACACATGGCGTCAGAATAGTGTATCCCGGAATCTCAAGGGACGTGTGTATCAAGCTACAGTGCGAGCTATTTTGTTGTATGGCTGAAACTTGACCTGTTCGAGCAGAGGAACTGAGACCTCTTCAGGTGTTCGACAATCGCTGTCTCAGGACCATAGCTCGTGTAGGTTGGTGTCAGAAAACCTCTAACGTGGCGATTAAAAAGCGAGTTTTCGGTTGTGCAACAAGAAGTTCCATTGAAGAATATGTCCAGCACCCGAAGCTGCGCTGGCTAGGTCATGCCTTGAGTATGCCGAACCATTGTTTGCCGAAGGGTGCTATTTTCCGTGCCCAATTCAGAGTTGCGGAAGTAGAAATGCGGCCAACCCTTGACCTGGCAGAGAGGCGTGAAAGAGATTACGAAACGTTTGAGTGCTACTCGCCTACCACGATGGAGATCGCGTGATCCCCATTGCGCCTGGTTGGAAACGCTGCAAATTATGGCTGCTAATTGATGTCAATGGCACTGTCATGTTCTATCGAGATCGCCTGAATGAGTGTCTCGAGGTGTAGCATCTTGAAATGATTGTAGTGGTACTAAGTCCCTTCTCCGCCCACCTTTATTCTTTTCTTCACAATAAGTCTCAAATAAAACATGGCTATACGGCAGCGAAGCACCGGTGTCAAACAAACGTCATGCTGTCCATGATCATGATGATGACACTCATGTCACGTATCTCAACAACAGAACACTGGGCAGAGTCATCGTTTCGGTCTTAACGTCTTCCTGCGAAAATGTGCTTTGGTGCTGTTTGACTAGAATCTGAATCTGTCTTCAATCTCGGTGACGGCCCCCTTGTCATTGATATGATCATGTGAGACTCTGTCCCGTCCTTTACTACGTTTGGGGTAGAAATACTTTCATGACGTCTGCCCATAGATATCGAATCAAATAGTTTAAAAAAATCATCTAGCTGTTGTAACCTTTCTCGACCTGGCTGCCAACGAAAAGAGGAACGAGGGCTGAAATATTGCCAGGTGGTTCAAGCTCAGACAGGAGCAGTCAAGATGCTGAGGTTGGATTCTAACCACGGACTTTCCGGTGCGTAAGCTGGCGCCTTAACCACTGAGCCCACAGATATCGAAAACTCATACATAGCAATTACTGAAACCTGACTCCATGAAGTGTGAAGATTAAATAGGCTGATTATTTCTTCCTCGTGTTTGGTATGCGCTTTGCACCTGCCAAGTTTAAAATGGTGGTGTTAGAGTGGGTGAGAGTAAACCTCATTGTAAGAGAGGGTGAGAGTAAATCATAACATCGTGCCTGCGGATGGGCCAATTGATGTGTTAGGCAGACTTGTCTATCTTTGTACCTGTATCGGTCCCTATGCTCTGGCGACTATTTTCACCCGGATCAGGAAGGCCTGGCCAACTTTTGTCAATCTGCATCTGGGGCGTAGACGTGACATCAACTTTCTTGTCAAAGTCGAGTTTACAGTACTGTCATCCGCCCCATATCGTTGTGCAGGCCAGAGACCTGGTGACCGAGAGCTGAGAAAGTCACAAAAATTTGAGTGTTTGACCATCGGTGTCGTTGGATCATGGCCCGAATCTGGTCATCATCACCATCGACAGCGTGACATCAGTTGTCAACACTGATGCTTCGCTGCCATAACTGAGTCTGGTGAGAACAGCTAATCAGTAATGCTAAAGAACACCGAATAGTTTTCGGGCGAGTAGCTCGTACACAGTAACGAAGCTGATCACACTCCACAGGTTTCGCTAGTTTGGTCACGTGCTCCGCGGGTCAGTCGATCGACGTTCTCGAAGAGTCCTCTGTGCACAACCATGCGAAGGGTGGAAGCGTGCCGGAGGAGGCTAGGCAATGGATTACCTGCTGGTGTTGAAGGCAACCCCTAGAAAGCGCTGCTGCCTCAATGGATGCCCTACCTCAGGGTTTGGCATGCGCTTCTCACCCGCAAAGTGTAAAATGCTACTGCAAGGCTGGGTAGGCTCGAACTCTAGCCTCATGCTTGCGGATGAGCACCTTGAGGTAGTAGACAAGTTAATCTACTTGGGCAGCTGTATCAGTACCAGAACCAAGACTTCCACCACACCTGCCATAACACCCAAGTTGCTGGCAGAGCCCACAGCTCGCGAACCCAGGCCTTTTTGCTCGACTGGACATGAGCAGCGGAACATGTGCTACCCAACTGTCCACCTCTACAACAACCGGCGCTTGTTGAAAAGCTGACCGCTCTTTACGGATAATGGCCACCCATGAACCGATCTGGTGAAAGGTGTTTTCTTCAGCATTCGGCCACTCACTTATTAAGCACGAACAAGCTGCAGACCTGAACACAGAAGTCGGGCACCTCAGTGCAAAACGTAGTGATCAGAGTTCAAATAGTATTAATCATGATATAACCTTTCATCAATCACTCAGTTGGAGCCACTATCGCGCCTGATGCCCCCCCCCATACGGCAGCGAAGCACCGGTGTCAAACAAACGTCATGCTGTCCATGATCATGATGATGACACTCATGTCACGTATCTCAACAACAGAACACTGGGCAGAGTCATCGTTTCGGTCTTAACGTCTTCCTGCGAAAATGTGCTTTGGTGCTGTTTGACTAGAATCTGAATCTGTCTTCAATCTCGGTGACGGCCCCCTTGTCATTGATATGATCATGTGAGACTCTGTCCCGTCCTTTACTACGTTTGGGGTAGAAATACTTTCATGACGTCTGCCCATAGATATCGAATCAAATAGTTTAAAAAAATCATCTAGCTGTTGTAACCTTTCTCGACCTGGCTGCCAACGAAAAGAGGAACGAGGGCTGAAATATTGCCAGGTGGTTCAAGCTCAGACAGGAGCAGTCAAGATGCTGAGGTTGGATTCTAACCACGGACTTTCCGGTGCGTAAGCTGGCGCCTTAACCACTGAGCCCACAGATATCGAAAACTCATACATAGCAATTACTGAAACTGACTCCATCGAAGTGTGAAGATTAAATAGGCTGATTATTTCTTCCTCGTGTTTGGTATGCGCTTTGCACCTGCCAAGTTTAAAATGGTGTTGTTAGAGTGGGTGAGAGTAAACCCTATTGTAAGAGAGGGTGAGAGTAAACCATAACATCGTTCCTGCGGATGGGCCAATTGATGTGTTAGGCAGATTTGTCTATCTTTGTACCTGTATCGGTCCCTATGCTCTGGCGACTATTTTCACCCGGATCAGGAAGGCCTGGCCAACCTTTGTCAATCTGCATCTGGGGCGTAGACGTGACATCAACTTGCTTGTCAAAGTCGAGTTTACAGTACTGTCATCCGCCCCATATCGTTGTGCAGGCCAGAGACCTGGTGGCTGAGAGCTGAGAAAGTCACAAAAATTTGAGTGTTTGACCATCGGTGTCGTTGGAGCATGGCCCGAATCTGGTCATCATCACCATCGACAGCGTGACATCAGTTGTCAACACTGATGCTTCGCTGCCGTAACTGAGTCTGGTGAGAACAGCTAATCAGTAATGCTAAAGAACACCGAATAGTTTTCGGGCGAGTAGCTCGTACACAGTAACGAAGCTGATCACACTCCACAGGTTTCGCTAGTTTGGTCACGTGCTCCGCGGGTCAGTCGATCGACGTTCTCGAAGAGTCCTCTGTGCACAACCATGCGAAGGGTGGAAGCGTGCCGGAGGAGGCTAGGCAATGGATTACCTGCTGGTGTTGAAGGCAACCCCTAGAAAGCGCTGCTGCCTCAATGGATGCCCTACCTCAGGGTTTGGCATGCGCTTCTCACCCGCAAAGTGTAAAATGCTACTGCAAGGCTGGGTAGGCTCGAACTCTAGCCTCATGCTTGCGGATGAGCACCTTGAGGTAGTAGACAAGTTAATCTACTTGGGCAGCTGTATCAGTACCAGAACCAAGACTTCTACCACACCTGTCATAACACCCAAGTTGCTGGCAGAGCCCACAGCTCGCGAACCCAGAACTTTTTGCTCGACTGGACATGAGCAGCGGAACATGTGCTACCCAACTGTCCACCTCTACAACAACCGGCGCTTGTTGAAAAGCTGACCGCTCTTTACGGATAATGGCCACCCATGAACCAATCAATCGTAATTTCGATCTGGTGAAAGGTGTTTTCTTCAGCATTCGGCCACTCACTTATTAAGCACGAACAAGCTGCAGACCTGAACACACAAGTCGGACACCTCAGTGCAAGACGTAGTGATCAGAGTGCAAATAGTATTAATCATAATATATCCTTTCATCAATCACTCAGTTGGAGCCACTATCGCGCCTGATGCCCCTTCTACTGCCGAACAGTCATCGAATTGATCGAAGGTGGTCTAATCGCCACCAGCTACCGATGGCAAAAATCAGCCAACGACTGCCTGTAATTCTGGAATACGCATGTCGGGCTCTCTTCCAGTGTAGATCTTCGTTAAATTTTCCCGGTAAACGTGAGGAACAGTCTCACCATTTCGCAACAAAGCTTCATAGTTCACAAGTTAGGAAATCTACAATAGACCTCTTTGGTGGCCATCAGTCCTTATTCTGGAGACCGGAAATTTCGCCAGTGGTGCCTCCGCACTCATACACAGAAACCATTGAATTTCGAAGCGGTCACTCACTCTTTGACGCTGGACACTGTCCTTTTTGGGCTCAACATAGTTTTGTATGACTTCATCAAACGAAGACTTCCAGTGGATAAGGGACTTGGTGGAACGTGAAATATGCGGGAGTTGTTCCAAGTGGCACATAAAACCTCACACAGGAGATTGTCTCTTGATGAGTTAACGAAAGGTAATTTCGGAAATTTACTACGTAGTAAAAGCCAGTTGTTAGGTCGCTGAAAGAAGATTTCCAGCAACCATTTTGCTGGTAATCTGCCTATGAGTTTCATTCGACTCAATGGGATTGAACCATGATGTGTCAGTTTAGGTCCCCCTCAGTGCTTCGAAACGCTACCGGGCTGCTGGACCAGAGATGGTGAGCCTCTAGGTTCCACTCGGACTAATTTTCTCGAAATTGTTTGGAATATGTTCTGGATGATTGGGACCAATCGCTCACTGTACTTCCATTCAAAAAAGTATCGAAGGGAGTGTTCCAAGTGTACAAGTATATTTCTCACTGGTAGCAACGCGACTATCAGCCTTCATATTCACGATCCATTTCACCCTTCTTCAGCATCTCTGTTCTGTTGTTCTTAGAGCCTCAAGTTTCCGGGAATTGTTACCTCACTTGCCTGCAATTCCCCGACAGTTCTCTACACCACTGGTTCTGTTCCGAATTTGGCTCTGACTATAAGTACAACTCTATTTTGGATTAACCGGACTACCTATGCATAGGATCGGTGTATGTGGCGCCACCGAACCTAATACCCGAAAACTTGATGACTCTTGGTTCTCGAAGATGACAGCTCTATTTTGTAGCGAGGTCGCGTAGGACACGACCAGCTTAATTTCTCGAGTGGTACTTACCATTCTTCGACTTGTGTCTGGCGCAGACGCTAGCTCGTGGAATACTAGAGGGTGCTCTACATTTATGAGCAAGCGCTTCTGATTGTACTGTTGTTTCTAGATCTTAAGCTTCCTGAGGTCTTTGTTCATCAATGCCTCGTAACCATCGCTTGTATAGGTTGACCACTGGTTGTTTGCCGTGAAGTGGTGTACTTCACTCTAAGAGTGTATTTATAACTAGGAACTTCCGTCATTCGGACAAGTGCATGTCGAGTTATAATCTACCGATAATTCAGGGTGGCATTAACAAGTTAGTTAAAGTGGAATGTAGACGGTTACGAATGATCTTAGTGCTATGGATCCATCTCGCCTCCCAGGACAGGACCCTCGCGATTGATCAAAAGCGCAATGGGATGTAGTGCCGGATCGGTATCAGTGATATTTTTGCTACCAAATTCTGTTCAAACTGTCTGACCGAGAACTCGATGTTTGTGGTCCTAAAATGTTTGCAGTATGCTGGCAATAGGATCTTATCTTCTCTCATTCGATCCTGTTTTTCTGGGCTGGCCGATTGATCAGACCACTGGACTTGTACAGCAGTGGGGCACGGGTATTAAGCACTAGTGTTGCTGTCAGTAGTAATTATGATGATGCCTGTCATACTGGTAACAATGGCACATTTCTCCAGCTTCATCCCACGCTTGCACACGAAACTTTGATCTGAGAACAACGAGCACACTTGTAACGGGGCTGAGGTTGCATTTACCATATCATCGCACTGCGTAAAAACATCATCATCATCTCGACAGTAAAACTTGTGATAGCAGTCATGCAAAACTGCCATGTAGCCTCAATAATGTACCCAAAAAGCCCTGCAATAAAAGTGCGGACGAACTTAGAGATAGAAGAAGGGAGTGGTGCTTTTCTTCGGATTGAAGAACATCGAGTGTGCATTCAACCGACTGATTATCATGTCTGTTTCGATCCTTAACCCACCTGTTTTCCCCTTTTGTTGTAGCTATAGCCCATTTTCGTCCCTTGAAACACACTTGGGCCCAAGATGTCTGCTCCAGGAGATGAAGTCGTTGCTGAGGACGATGGGTCTGGCTACAAGGTCCCAGCGAAGAAAACCCTCGAGGAGATTAAAAAGATGGATGAAGAAGATGAGAGTCTCAGGCGATACAAAGAAGCGCTGTTGGGCAGCGCAGCAAACGCAATTCCTTGTATGTTCTCACCCTTCTTACCCCCTTTCTTTCACAGTCCCGCAGAATCCCAAATCCGTCATTCTAGAAAGCTTCACTATTTGTGTGGAAAATCAACCGGAGCGGACAATTAGTTTAATGGGTATGTTCTGGGTTTTTACACTGAAGCCAGAATTCCTCAGTGAGCCGATCGAGCTCACTACTCTTCCAATGTACGCTAACTACTTACTAAGGGTGTTTTTGTCTTTTTTTACTGCCGAGCTTGGATCTGGTTGCTGTCAATCAAACTTACGGTTGAAACCTACATTCCCATATTTTTTCTGTACTCCGCATGTTTGTGGATCGATTCTCGAGTACATAGGCTGGTTCATGAAACTTCAATAAAGGGAACGTTGGTTACTCAAGTCCTATAGATGGTTGCTGGTGTTTTTTCTGGGCTGCCAGAAATGCTAGAGCCCACTGTGTGGCGGTCATAATCTGAGTTCCATATTACCGACCAAGAGCGGTCACTGTAAAGGACTGGCCGCTCTGGAGAACACGTCGTAGACGAGTTAGGGTGTGATTCAACTCACGGTAGCTAATACCTTGTGGGAGGAGAATTTAGCTCCCCTATAACCATAAATTGCAGTAGTTACTGTAACAAAAGCCTCCGGGGGTAGTCCAGCACACTCACAACAGAGGATCCTTTTGCCGTTCATCAAACATTAATAGAGCTGCTTCGAAAAGCAGAGTTTTCAGCAACCTTGTGAGTAGTTTCCTTTATGAAAATATACTGCGATATCTCGAATATTGTGCCAACTGAATCATGCGGCGGCCTGTGTGCAGCACTTTCAGTTGTAGAATATCATAAACGAGAGATTCAGTTGAGTCTCTCGTGAAAACCAAATTGATTTGCAAATTTGTGTATTTCTCAGAAACAGACATACTAGAGGGAAGTGGATCATAAGCAGCCAGGAATTCGTAACGTCCTCACTTGCCGACAGCGCAGTAAGCTTGTCATTGGTGCCATGAAATTTAATTGGTTAGTTGGTCGGTCTGTTCTTTGGTCTTTTGTCATATTTAACAACACTAAGTGAGTAGACGACACGCTGATTTCCTCTAAGTCACACGACAATCAAGAGCTCAGGTACGGCTGAAAGGCATCCTGAAAATTTCGACAGTTCATCGATTTGATCAACCACCGAAACTGTCGTAGATTCGGCATCCACTGTATGAGTTGGACGTCAGAGCTCGGGAACTAACTTTGAGATATCTTTCCAGTTACCTGTATTCCGTAAGTCTCGCCCGCTTTTTTAGGCGCGCCGATTTGCAAATACATTTCTGATCAATCAGTTGCCATTTGGGAGCGCTCATTTTATCTACCTTACGGTTGGACGAGTCTCGGAGCAAGTCAATGAGGCTCAACGCGGAAACCTTTAATTTAGCATAGGACGTGACAGAGTTGAACGATCATTTGCACGGTCATTTACAAGAGTCTAAAAGGTACTTGATGCATACATGGTGTACTTCCAACCTTTCCAATGAAGGCCCACTGCAACCTCGTCACACCAAACGCTAAGCTCTCACATTAACGGTATATTAGACTGAATGTCTCAGTCACACATTCCAACGTAAACTTCCGTTTGTGTTTCTATTGGTGGGCCACGTAGCTACGCTTCTGTTCAGAACAATACTATGCACGTCACGAAACCAATGTGGTGTCGGAAATGAAGATTGAGCAACAGGCCAACTCTTCTGTAAAACGAAGCCGATGAACCATGGGTGTCCCCGCATCAACCGTTTTTCCAGCTGGAATATTGCCTTTCCTAAATCATCAGTCCTGAGATTGTGTTCCACCGTCATTCGTCTCTTGGCTCCTTCGCAACTATGGAGTTTGTATCAGTCCCGTGGAGTTTATGTTCATTGATTTCTTCACGAACCGAATGCTCCTTGTTCGCCACATTGCTCTCTCTCTCTCTCGGAGCAAACTGAATTAAGCCTAACTTTGTAAACCCATGAGATGGATTTTCAGTGTTACAAGAACCGCAGCAGTTGGCAGGTAATGGGAAAATGCATACCTCTTACAGAAAGATGATCAAAACCGGGTCACAACAAAGGTTTAACGGAAGAGGTGGACTTTGAGGATGGCGACAACGGTCTCTACTAAAATGCAGGCCTCATACCATTATGCCATTACCGCCAACGTCAATGCTCCCGAACGTTGACGTGTCTAGAGATTGAGTTTTGAACCTGGGACAAGTAGAAAAGTGTGAAATGGTTCTGAGCAGCGTAGTATGGTAAAACCTCTCGCCTGAAAAATCTATGATGTCGACAGGGTAGCGTCTGGTAGGTCCCCACAAACACTCAAAGGACCACGCGATTCAGGTCAGGGCAGACAATGAGACGTGACGCACGATGTGACCCAAGCTGAAGGGGTACTATTTGAAACGGAAAGGTATCGTTGGATAGAAAGAAAGGTTTCTCCTCTGAACGAATACGATTTCAACTTGCGCCATTGATGGTGTGTAGGAGTAAGGCCAAGGATGGACTAGCTGAAATGATCAACAACAGGGGACCCGTAGAATGTTCCAGCCTGAAGGTTAAATAGGATTACGAGAATGTTTCAAATGAAGGGAATGAGTGTTGGAACAGTTTGGTGGTCCAGTGGAGCACAAGCGCCAGCACACTGCACCGTCGTCCAGATTGCTTTGTATCGAGAATTCTCCAATGTATAAAGAAGAAAGGTGACAGTGATATCTTCTGAACAATCGTTTAATTGTAGCACCCTTTCGGTGCCTATCTGCCGTGCCAACGGAAGGATGAACGAGGACTGAGATACTGCCCAAGCGTATACAGAAGCAGTCGAGATATTGAGGTTGGATTCTAACCACGGAACTTCCGGCCCGTAAGCTGGCGCGTTAACCACTGAGCTGTCTTGAGGACTTCTGAACAAAGTATGCGTTGAATTCTTTGCTCCTACTGAGGTGGTCTTGGAGAGGCTTGATTGGTCGATGCATTTGAGATGAATTCGGTCTATTCAGATATATCAGAATAGTCCAAAAATGGCATGTGGACTAAGTGTCGAGTCCTGTCTTTTTCAAAGGCAGTGGCATGCGCGCAACGTGGGCAACAGCATGTAGGCAACGTAGACGAATTTAACTGCCAAGCAAAGTGTAACGGGTTATCTTCCATGAGGTTGGTTTTCATTCCACAAAGAGGCATTCATTCGGGGAGTTTCAGGATAGCGGACAGAGGCAGTATTTCGTGAATCCTTCTTCGGTATCGGTGTTGTGTGAGCAATTCTCCATTAATAAAGGGTACTCTTAAAATGTATACAAACTAAACAGGTGAACAATGACAGTCGTTTGGGATGTTCTTTCAGTAAACTGGATGGTTGGACCACATGCCTTATGCATGCTGCTGACGGCACCCGTCGGCCCGCTGTTTTGGGCGGCCAGGTTTGTCAGAAGTCGCTGGACCTCTCGGCGCAAAAGTGCACGTACTCAGAGATACCAATGTGAACGTGACCTTGAAACTAAGTATGACCTTGTCCTTCCATACGGCATTAACCCATCTGCGTAGCAGTAGGATGGCTACATCTTTGGTTTTAGCTGAAAGTAATTCTTGGTCAGAAGTACCTTCTGAATAATTGTAAGTACCCAAGCGGAATTTTACGGTAGTCCCGCTTAGATTTTAAAAAAACAATACCGGAAAAGCCTTGTCTGGCCCCCCCCCCCCGCAAAAAGTCGGCCCGCTGTTTTGGACGGCCAGGATTGTCAGAAGTCGCTGGACCTCTCGGCGCAAAGGTGCACGTACTCAGAGATACCAATGTGAACGTGACCTTGAAACTAAGTATGACCTTGTCTTTCCATACGGCATTAACCCATCTGCGTAGCAGTAGGATGGCTACATCTTTGGTTTTAGCTGAAATTAATTCTTGGTCAGAAGTACCTTTTGAATGATTGTAAGTACCCAAGCGGAATGTTACGGTAGCCCCGCTTAGATTTTTAAAAAACAATCCCGGAAAAGCCTTGTCTGCACCCCCCCTGCAACAAATCTTGGCCTCGGCGTTAGCTTGCGAAAGATGCATGCTACTCTGTCCGACTGCAGACCGATGTTTGTCTATCAGCAGTTCAAGTATGCATGAGAACTTGTGCAGCTCACTCACTGAATTACCTCGGGACTTTTATGCGATAGAACTGTAGGTATCTTCCTTGATTTGTGAAAACGACCGCAAATTTTGCACGTTTGCCTCAAGTATGCATGAGAACTTGTGCAGCTAAACTCACTCACTGCATTACCTCTGGACTTTTATGCGATAGAACTGTAGGAATCTTCCTTGATTTATGAAAACGACCGCAAATTTTGCACGTTTGCTGCTTTACGGCCGAATTGGTGTCTTACTGGTGTCATCTGACTCCACAACAAATACACTCATTTGCAAATCAACGTGGTTTTCACGAGAGACTCAAGTGAATCTCTCGTTTATGATGTTCTTCAACTGACGGTGCTGCACAAAGGGCCACCTCATGTTTCAGTTGGCACGATATTCGAGATATCGCGGTATATTTTCATAGAGGGAACTGCTCACAAGGTTGCTGAAAACTCTTCGACAGTCCACGACCGGTTTCGCCCTTCTTGGGGCTCATCAGGTCGGCTCGGTCCCCGAATCTCCGTCAACTTTCATCAACAGGAGATTTAGCTTGGATTCAGGCGAGTCTCTCGTGAAAACCAGACTGGTGTGCAAATAAGTGTATTTGGCGAGTTTCATATAATTAGGATTCTAATAGAACATAAGGTTGACGAAAACCGACAGTTTGAGGCTACCTGATGAGCCCCGAAATATGTGGAGCCTTTCGTAGAGTTTTCAGCAACCTTGTGAGTAGTTCCCCGTATGAGGTGTAATCCAATTTAAAGCTGACTTGGAGCAAACAGCAGCAAGGACCATGCCGTCATGTTAGTCAACTCGATACCCTTCAGTCCATAGGGGTATATCAGCAAATTTGGAGGTCATTGTCACATGCACTTGATTAAATTAAACCCTATCTGCAGTTTTATTTTTGCGTTGAACTCCATTTACCATCTGTGTTTTCAGACGAAAGTAAGAGCTCTCGGTGTTCAGCTCGGTTATGTTGTTTTATATGTATTTGTCTCTCTCCAAGGTGGCTCTCATGTTCATCTCCATGTTATCCACAATGTCTCATCTATAACTCGTGTTGTGTTCAGCGTTCAGGATTGCATCACGTGATTCCATGTCGCTTCTCATTCTCTCTCTTGATTGGTTTGTGTGCATGCGATCACGTTTTCCTTGTCCGGTGAAGGATCAGCGCGATTTATCACATCATCTTTCATCTTATTTTCGCTTTTAATAAAGTAAACCGAATGGTGCTTTGAGTAGTGTTCTTTTATATTATTTCCTCATGGGTTTGTGCACAGTTGTCAAGGTACAAAGTTTTTTCGGGCATGTTATATCAGTTGGTTGGTCATAGTTGGACTTTGAAACTTTTCTCAAAACTACCGTATAGTGGTTGTCGAGCCAAATAATTGAGGTATCCTCTGATGGACGTGTCGTCATCCCGTGCGTACCGGTCTTCTGTTGTTGAGTAATGTAAGGAAAAATTCAGGAGTTTGTTGGGTCGAAGAGGGGGCACTACGTGTCGCTGTTTTACCCCACTTTTTCACACACTGATGTTGTGTACAAGACTATCCCGTTCTTACAAAGATGCGATCGATGTACCCCTAATTCACCAGCCTGTGTACATACGTACTTGTAATTTTAAGTGACTATCCCCTGGGTCGGAACGAGTCGGCAGCGTGTATAAATACCCTTAGTCTGTGAGCGGTCTGAACCAAACCCCTTTTTTCAAGACAGTTTCCAACAGAGGCGGGTGGGAAGAGGCACATTCCGGTACTGGTTTTGCTGTTTCAGATGGCCCGTCGTCTGTGCACTAGGCCGTAATTTCGTTTGTCTCACCCCGAAATATAGCCTTTCGTAGAGTTTTCAGCAACCTTGTGAGTAGTTCCCCGTATGAGGTGTAATCCAATTTAAAGCTGACTTGGAGCAAACAGCAGCAAGGACCATGCCGTCATGTTAGTCAACTCGATACCCTTCAGTCCATAGGGGTATATCAGCAAATTTGGAGGTCATTGTCACATGCACTTGATTAAATTAAACCCTATCTGCAGTTTTATTTTTGCGTTGAACTCCATTTACCATCTGTGTTTTCAGACGAAAGTAAGAGCTCTCGGTGTTCAGCTCGGTTATGTTGTTTTATATGTATTTGTCTCTCTCCAAGGTGGCTCTCATGTTCATCTCCATGTTATCCACAATGTCTCATCTATAACTCGTGTTGTGTTCAGCGTTCAGGATTGCATCACGTGATTCCATGTCGCTTCTCATTCTCTCTCTTGATTGGTTTGTGTGCATGCGATCACGTTTTCCTTGTCTGGTGAAGGATCAGCGCGATTTATCACATCATCTTTCATCTTATTTTCGCTTTTAATAAAGTAAACCGAATGGTGCTTTGAGTAGTGTTCTTTTATATTATTTCCTCATGGGTTTGTGCACAGTTGTCAAGGTACAAAGTTTTTTCGGGCATGTTATATCAGTTGGTTGGTCATAGTTGGACTTTGAAACTTTTCTCAAAACTACCGTATAGTGGTTGTCGAGCCAAATAATTGAGGTATCCTCTGATGGACGTGTCGTCATCCCGTGCGTACCGGTCTTCTGTTGTTGAGTAATGTAAGGAAAAATTCAGGAGTTTGTTGGGTCGAAGAGGGGGCACTACGTGTCGCTGTTTTACCCCACTTTTTCACACACTGATGTTGTGTACAAGACTATCCCGTTCTTACAAAGATGCGATCGATGTACCCCTAATTCACCAGCCTGTGTACATACGTACTTGTAATTTTAAGTGACTATCCCCTGGGTCGGAACGAGTCGGCAGCGTGTATAAATACCCTTAGTCTGTGAGCGGTCTGAACCAAACCCCTTTTTTCAAGACAGTTTCCAACAGAGGCGGGTGGGAAGAGGCACATTCCGGTACTGGTTTTGCTGTTTCAGATGGCCCGTCGTTTGTGCACTAGGCCGTAATTTCGTTTGTCTCACTGTGGGGAAACTCGAGTTTACTGTTGGTGAGCGGACAACCGGAAAATGGATGCAGCGAGTGCATTCATTCCACAGTCCATGATATGTGTACGTTGTTCACGATATTTGGACTTATTTGGAATGTCGATGACCTCTACGTCTACTCTATGTAGCGTATCGGTTGCTTTCGTGATTCGACTATGCGGAGTTTGCAACAGCAACTTGAATACGCCTCAGTAATGACCGGGCTCCAATTGTATCGCTTTGGGCGTGCAATCAGTTTTGTTACAGGTTTCGATCGCATACGCGGACGTTACCAACCACCCCAAGGGATCTGTCAGAGTGGTCCCTCCTGAGAATGCTTTCTTCAGAGGGTAACAACTGCAGTCAACCTCTTCAGTTTTTCAAAATGACCAGCTGTGACTGTATCATACAAGTTCTGTGATTCTTCAGTTTTTCAAAATGACGAGCTGTGACTGTATCATACAAGTTCTGTGAACACAGTGTAAAGGAGTCGATCAGCTAAATCTGACACCGGACCAACAAAACAGAAGAGAACGAAGTAGTGTGTCCAAAACCACACCCCGGGATGTTTCAAAAAACCCACTCAGGTTAATAATAAGCGCTATTTTCGTCTGAACGCCATACTATGACCATATATGTAGAATAATTGAACTGAAAATGTGACCCTCTCGAAAAATCATCCAATCGATTTCTCGTGTGCCATATATCCGGAACGCTCGCTGGATCTGATGGCGACCTTGGTTTACCAATGCTGTGGTATTCCATCCTTCTTTAAGAAGGAGTTCTCCGGCGATGGACAAGCTAACCATGCTTCATAGGTTATGTTTCACATCTCAGTACCGTCTAGCTTGCAAAATTCTTTCCACCCAGTCCTGTACTGTGTAGAAGTGACCTAGGCACGGACATCCTGTGTTCCGGCAATAAACCGTGAAATGACTAACCATTAAGTTCAGTTGGTTTGATAACTCCCGTCTCCCTGGATGGACTCAACTCATCAGTGATTAATGACGCTGACAGATATGGCTTATTGGCTCAAAGGGGCGAGATGGCTCAAGTGATTAGAGCGCGAATTTACTGACCAGAAGGTCCGTGGTTCGAACCCGACCTCTGCCTCTTGACTTCCTCTGTCTAGGTTTGGGCACCCTGGCAGTATCCCAGCCCTCGTGCTTCCCTCGGGTGGCATGGCAGTTAGACACCGAAAGGGTGTTACAGCTGAATGACGCGATTCTATCGTCCAGTTCCTCGTCTCTTCAGACAATTAGAATGATTCAAAATCAACTGATTGATTATACCACCGCCTCCGATGTCTGGCAATAACTTTCAATGACCGAAACAGTAGCAGCTGGAACCAACGTACCCCTTATGTGCTTCATAGCTGATTAACGGAACTGAACTGACCGCTCTCACGTGCACCTAAGTGTACTGGAGTTACCGCTCGTCATACAACAATGAATACTTGACCTTCGTACTTCACTCAGCCCTTCATGAATTGCCTTGGACTGATTGAGCATAAGCCCGACTGGAAGAAGATATCCCAGCGACTGTGAGCTCTAATGCATGCGCAACATGTTTTTTCGGCGGAGACCTCCCTATCAACTCGTCTGACATGCGCCAGCCTGGTCCAGAAATCGGAAGCAAGGAACATTCAGTGCTAAAATGACAGTCGAGGAGGGTCAGTCTGTATTTCCAACTTGTATTCCGTTAATGTGCTGTCCTGCTCGACACAAATCCAACAGAAACGTCAGTAGCTGAGTTACAGTTCTGGTAAGAGTCCTGATGGTGAAGAAGCGTACGGTTTACTGGGAAATTCGCATGTCACAATTCATTGGGACTCAGAAGCATGCAAAACAAAAAAAGGTGAATAACTTCGCTGAATCGACCTTGTAACTGGTTTACAACAGTCGCGATTCAAGGTCGATACATTCATTCGCGTATGCCAAATTGATGCTTGTTTTTTCAACGATCTGATCAGGCTAGGTTGCGTAATCACACGCATAACACGTTAACACAATCCAACCCGCAACTACTCCAGGTGTGCAAACAGCGTGTATTTTGTCTGTTTCGGGATTGGTGTAACTTAACATCACTGTGTCGAAAAACCATGAGTCACTCTCGTAAATTCCCAAGCTGTTCCTGGTTAGGTATTCATTATGAATTCGGCCGATTTATTCTTCTTTCCTAGCGTCAGCTAAACTTTTGACTTACCACTGTAGTGACGTATGGGTGGATTTGTGTTCCCTGTTTGGGTTTACTTCACGTGACACTTCTTGCGTCGTGCCTGTAAAACCAAAAGCACAGACTACAGTCTTGGTCGTCTGATTCACCTTGGCTGGCATCTTCAATCGATCTGCGCCGTTTCTCATGCGACCACGATAACACAAACGTCGGAGTGCAGGCGATCGGTTTAGTCTTGAATCCATGTCAGTTCACTTGGGGATTATTATATGGGTTATAATGACCGAGATGACGATGGTTCTGGTGAGTGCGTTCGGTTTAGCCATTTCGACAGGGGGTCACGTAAAACGTGAAGTTAACTGAGGGAGAGCGAGCTTTCGTTACGTCACAGTTGCATCACAGTCATCAAAAGTTAAAACCAGGTTATCAACGGTCTTGTGAATTACCAAAATGTCGCCCGAATTTATAGTGATTGCTCAGCTACGGACATTGGTTGATCAGGCCACTAACGGAAACTTTTGGAACTGCACTGCATGTGATGAAAACCCTTTAGATGAATGGACGAACGATCATGTGTTCCGGACAGATAACCGTTACCCGGATGTTTGCGCTCCGACGGTTGTTCCGAATCGCAAAGGTAAACCGGTTCACTCCCATTGCTGTCCATAATCTTTCTTAGGCCACCGCCAACTCGCTTTCGCTTGTTGTACCGACCATTTTGAAATCCTTGCGCTTTCTTGCTGAATATTTTTGCATCCTTGGTGCCCATAATTCCACATTTGTGCCACCAAAATTGATCGAATACGACATGCCAAATCTCAACCACTGCATGGTTTCCTTCTGGTCACTGTCTGAAATGTTTCACCGTTGCTGACTTGAACTTCCCACCGCTGAGTCAAGACATTTACTCGGTTCCGTAAAACAACCACTGTAGCGAGCATTCCCAAACACTAGTGGTTCAGTGAATTGAATTGAAACAAGCTGTTGTACGGTAAGCAGCCGGTAAAAACTGCGGTGCCAATGAACCGTTGATAAGACGTCCATCTTATGTGGTTGATATTCTCAACACTTGGTAGCCCGTGTAGAATCACTTCAAAGTAGAAACTCACTGACTTGCACCATTGCAAGCAAAAGGAGGGAATTTCAGACAGTTTTAGGGAAGGAAGCATATGTAGAGTAGGACGAGACTTGAGTGCTTCTGGAGAGCATATTTGTCCGGTTCCTCAGAAGCCATCACTGTCCGGTTTGTACAGCCGTTCTGTTTAAAAGTCGAAACTGATGTGGGCAGCATGCGATTATGTTGCAACCGAACTCGTTCTAATAATGAACTTGGTTCCGCCGGAAATCCGATCCAGCCCGCCTCTTTCTGAATCTGTCTAGAGTAGCATGTGTGGGCTCGGTGTCAGGTCAAGTCATAAATGTGGAAAGCAGATCAGTCATCACCACATATAGCCAGACTGATGATGAGATTGTTGTTTCGCCGCTACATCACTATAGAACTGCTCCACATTTCAAAGGGGAGAGAAAACACCACAGAACAGTTCTATCTGCCTACGCTGCTGTTAAATAGACTATTGAAAAAATCGCTGGTTTGCTCAGCTGAGCTCATCGGGCAAACCAACAACCATCTACGCTACTTGAACCACCATCATTCTCCTCAACAATGGTCATCATCATCGACAGCATGACATCAGTGTTCAACACCGATGCTTCACTGCCTTTTGTAAAGAAAAGAGTAAAGGTGGACGGGGAAGGGACTTAGTGCTAGCTTACCACAATCATTCCGAGGTGCCTACAACTCCAGACATTCACTCAGACAGTCTGGATAGAAACTGACAACAAGAACGCCACTGACATCAGTTGGCAGCCATATCTTGTAGCGTCTCCAACCAGGCACAGTGAGGATCACGCGGTCCCCATCCTGGAAGGCGAGTAGCACCGACAGCACCCAAGCGTCTCGTGATCTCCATACTCCTCTGCCAAGTCAAGAGTTGGCCACCTTTCTGTTTACGCCACTCTGAATTGGGCATAGAAAACAGTACTCTCTTCGGCACACGATGGTTGGACATACGCAACACATGTCCCAATCAACGCAGCTTCTGGTGCTGGACCTCAACAACAGTACGCATTATTGAATGTGCGATTCGGGTCTCTGGGAGTCGTGAATGAATGTGGCATGCGAAACGCCCCACGACCTCCAGTACGTGAAGCCTAGATGTCATGGAGTCTGATTTTGCACTTTTCGGGTGTAAGTATCAACGAGTATTCAGCATTTTTTGATCTGTTTCCCCCGGGCTGAATCTTCACCCGCTTTTACTGTTTCGTTGTCCGCTGATTCCGCTTGCGCCGTCCACAAGCGTTTCTGTTTCGCTCCTGGTTATCTTCAATTTTTCTCATTCTTTCGCTTGTTACTCCAACCGTATGGCGTAGCTTTCGTTGGTCATGCGTTCATCTAGTACATTCTAATTCTCAGTTATTTTTAACTGGTCTTCTACAGGTGCTTTGGCCAATACGACGTGCGAAGCTATTCCGATTCCCGAAGGTGCCAATTATCATATCAAAGTCAACTACTACGTTCAGCGGGACATTGTGACTGGCTTACAGTATGCCCAGAGTGTCTATCGTGGACCCGTTAGAGGTAACCGCAAATGGAGTGTGCGTTCTTAGGTTTCTGTAACATTTATGAATACTAAGACCGACTTCAAGAGGTCTTTTTTGTTCACTTTCACCCAAATCTCGGGGCGAGATGGCTCAGTGGTTAGAGCGCGCATTTACTGATCGCAAGGACCATGATTCGAACCCGACCTCTGCCTCTCCTCGACTTCCCCTATCTAGGCTTGGGCAACCCTGGCACTATCTCAGCCCTCGTGCTTCCTTCAGATGGCATGGCAGTTAGGCACCGAAAGGATGCTGCAGCTGAACGATTTTTCAAAAGCCTAAACAACTATCATAACTAACAGTTTTATTGATCTGTTCACCGCGCTTGACACTTGGTTTACAAACATTTCGTCACCATTCAATCAATGATGTGGTTGCCTCATCCAATGAACGCAACCGAGTTTCCAATATTCCGACACTTTGTCTTGACTAGCTTTATTTAACCACATGGATTCGATCTAATATTGATGATACAGAATTTTCTATCTGCCCAATCGATGACGTAATGTTCCCTTTCTATATACCTTTCGTCCTTCACAGTCGATCGTTCCAGTGCGATGATGGGGAGCTATGCACCACAAAATGAGGTACGCGTCTGGAAGTCAGACACATTTGAGGCTCCCAAGGGAGCAATGCATCGTGGCACCTATCACATCAAGAGTCGTTTTGTCGATGCGGATAAAAACGAGTACGTGTCATGGAAGTGGGATATCCAAGTGGTTAAAGCATCCGGATGAGATGACTTTGGAATTCCAAATCACCTCCCCGCCTTCGCGTTCCACGTGTGCGTGCATTTTCGCATGCGCTCACCATTGCTTACAGACTCGTGGTGCTGTTTGCGCTAGTCTTCCTCACTTCGTTTCTCGTACTCTTGTGCGCCCTCCCCCCTATTTCTATCGTTGTTCTGTTCTGTTGAAGGTCCTTGGCGAATACGCTATGCAAAACTCCGACTTTCAGTGTGCCTCTGCCTTTGTCACAGCTACAACGATCGTGTTTTTTCTAAATCTCAGCTTCAACTAGTACGTGTTTGTTCATCCATCAAAACACAGTCGTGTGTTATGACCAGGGCGCGTACTAATCTTCCAAGTACATATGTATGTTTTTTTTTCAAACGCAGTGCAGACACGTGTGGCTTCATAATCCACTCTGAGTGAGCTTTTCTACCACGATGGTTGTTGCACCTGTGTGTGTGTGTGCCAAAAGCCTAAACAACTATCATAACTAACAGTTTTATTGATCTGTTCACCGCGCTTGACACTTGGTTTACAAACATTTCGTCACCATTCAATCAATGATGTGGTTGCCTCATCCAATGAACGCAACCGAGTTTCCAATATTCCGACACTTTGTCTTGACTAGCTTTATTTAACCACATGGATTCGATCTAATATTGATGATACAGAATTTTCTATCTGCCCAATCGATGACGTAATGTTCCCTTTCTATATACCTTTCGTCCTTCACAGTCGATCGTTCCAGTGCGATGATGGGGAGCTATGCACCACAAAATGAGGTACGCGTCTGGAAGTCAGACACATTTGAGGCTCCCAAGGGAGCAATGCATCGTGGCACCTATCACATCAAGAGTCGTTTTGTCGATGCGGATAAAAACGAGTACGTGTCATGGAAGTGGGATATCCAAGTGGTTAAAGCATCCGGATGAGATGACTTTGGAATTCCAAATCACCTCCCCGCCTTCGCGTTCCACGTGTGCGTGCATTTTCGCATGCGCTCACCATTGCTTACAGACTCGTGGTGCTGTTTGCGCTAGTCTTCCTCACTTCGTTTCTCGTACTCTTGTGCGCCCTCCCCCCTATTTCTATCGTTGTTCTGTTCTGTTGAAGGTCCTTGGCGAATACGCTATGCAAAACTCCGACTTTCAGTGTGCCTCTGCCTTTGTCACAGCTACAACGATCGTGTTTTTTCTAAATCTCAGCTTCAACTAGTACGTGTTTGTTCATCCATCAAAACACAGTCGTGTGTTATGACCAGGGCGCGTACTAATCTTCCAAGTACATATGTATGTTTTTTTTTCAAACGCAGTGCAGACACGTGTGGCTTCATAATCCACTCTGAGTGAGCTTTTCTACCACGATGGTTGTTGCACCTGTGTGTGTGTGTGCGTATTTGTTGTCCACTCTCGCCCCTGTGTGTTTCGGGGTATACACATTTTAACAAGCAGCTCGCGCTGTCACAACAGTAATCGCAAAGATTCCAGATATTGTTTATTCCTTTTTCCGTTCCATCTCACTGGGTCATGATGATGTGGTTACTAGTTTATGCCTGGTGAGACGGTATTTTAGACTTTATCCTGTAAGCGAAGTTGGTCTGTATGCGGCGAAGCACTGTGAAGCAGTTGTCTCATCCTTGTTAAGAATCATCATCAGCGCCTGTTACCGATCGGCCACAGATCGGAACAAACCATAGTGCCACTTCTCTGAACCCCGTTGTTTTTGCAGTTTTCCGGTTGTTAGAGTGACGTTTCACCACCCATGCTGCGGGTTGGGTGTTTCGCCTTGGGGACATTATATTTTCTAGTCGGTACTGGGTTTCCGTTTGAGTTCCGGTTTATTTTTCGATAACACGAAACGTCCCATTTTGCTGATTGATAGAACACCTTGGTTTATGTTGGGGCGACCTCTGAAAAGTGGTTTCTCCGGAATTCGCGAAGATCACGTGAAATAAGCTACGACTTCGCTTTGTCTGTTTCTTATGTCGTCCAACGATGAGGCGTCCGGCAGGACACTAGTTGGTTTGAGATCCTTACCAGTGTGTCACGCGTTACTTCGGACACCACCTGCGATGTTTTGGTCAATTCATGTTATCTGTACACAGAGGGACTGTGCGAACGACGAGAATGGCACCCATTTTGTAGTGATAATCCGTGATGAGCAAGAGTCACGCTAATGGTTGTTCACAGGTTAATATTGAACCACTGGGAACCATCTTAGAAACACTGCACCATTCGTACAGTTGTTCCAGTGACCAGATTTCAGTTCTGGCAAGGAAATTAGCTCAACTGTTGTTATGTGAAGTCGGCTTTCCACATTTGAAATTGGGGGGTGGGGGGTTCCGTTATCTGGCTGCACCTTACCAGTGCCAAACCGAGCTCCCACGACACGGACCGAAAGCGGTCTCAGTTGAAAACATGCATTCTTCTTTCGAAGTGCAATGAACGTTAGTGGTAAATATAGTGGTCCTGCTGCGGCATCTTTCCGGTGTATGGCTGCCGGACAACTCGAATAGGGAATTCAGGCTGTGGGGTTACCCGAGCCCTTCACTCGAAAAGTCAGGGTCACTGCTTCGAATGTTAATTGCTGAGCTATCTCAAACTCCACGTGCAGTGGACACTTCGTAGACGTAAAACAGTGCTGGACGTACCCCATCGCTGTGCATCCTGCATCCTAGAGTATCCCCGAAGTAGCCGTGTTGTCATGAAAAAGTCAGTAGAAATTCACATGCTTCGTTTGACGTCAGACTGACAAAAAGAAAGGCAAGTTGAATAAAATGGGGGTACTAGAATCGACCTACCGCGGTTGTACTATTCTGATAGTGATCATTGCCAATCAGTATGGGGTCGGAGGATGGAGCACCTATTTTGATCAGTATCCCCTACAGGTCACACTTTGTATTCTCTATGGATTGCACGAGCGATTCTCGGTCACCAATATGACCAAGTGATTGTTCCTAACTCGTGTTTCGGTTTCTCTCTTTCTACAAACCGAGCCACTCTCCATATATTTGCGGTTGGCATCTGACAAGTACACGCTGCATTCTGGGGCTTCGGCGCACATTTGTTCCTGGTTAGGTCGAGTGCTATAGTAATTTCAGCAGAAAGTAAAATTGATGGTGATGCGGAGATTGGGCCTTCTTGGCAAAGCCTAAGTTCATTGATCAACTGGCCAAATGAAAACTAATGTCAGCGAAACTGTACGTGAAAACGGCAATTCACTCACAAAATCGTCATCTTGAGAGATTAGCTGAACACTTTAGAGAACAGTTCAGTTGGTTTCCATGACCACAACTGCTGCAAGAGCTCAAGGAGCCTGAAAGGTATCCCACCCGGACGGTCTGCACTCCACACTTTTCAAAGAAGGTTGTGAGGCCCCGGTGAATAGCCTGGCAATCCCACTGAAAGAATTGGAGCGAGAACAGAATGCCGTTGAAACGGAGCAACACGACCGTGATTCCAGCCTTCAAACAGGGCGCAAGAAAAACATTAGCGGATCAATCTCGCATCGATGACATCCGAGATGCTCTTTGGTGGTATTTTGCGCAGATTGGTCAATTATCGGAAGAGANTATCATCTGGTTTATCCCCGAATACAGGTGTCAACATTTTACCTAAGTTCCACACGTCCATTGGTGTAAGACAAGGCTGCCCTCTCTCGCATGTCCTCAACTTTGTTAGGACGTGCTGCTTGAAACCTCCCTGTCTGCCCCTGGAACCTCGGAAACCACAATACTCCCCTGGGAAATCGATCGTCGCCAGTAGGCAGATGATGCTGACCTTGTTTTAGATGCTCCAAAGATGCGAACCGTTTTAAATAACCTAGATCATTAAACTGCACAGCTTGGTGTGCGGCTTACGCCCCTAAAGTGTAAAGGACGGCTAAAATACTGGGTGGGATCAAATCCGAAAACTCATGCTTTCAGAGGAGCCAATCGGGGTGGGAGTTGCATAAGTTCCGGTGGACTGGCTGGGGACGAGATTGCTTCTCGGGATCTTTGGTGCCGACGTTACGTCGGTCTGTCTATCTGTCAAGGGGAGAGTTAACATAACGGTTGTGTGATCTCTACTGCTTTATGAACCAGGAACGGGGTCTCTGCGCGCCAAGGACGTGTGGAAACTTTCAGTGTTTGACCATCGATGTCTCCGAGATATCGGTTTTGTCACCGGATTACCAATGTTGAGGTGAGCCAGACGGTTTTAGGAGAAAAGAACTCTTCCACGATGGATGAGTTACCCACGCTTCATACGTTACACTGGTTAGGACGTATTCCGCAATTCAGGCGCCAGTCTACCTCACAGATCTCTTTTCACCCAGTCCTTGGCTGAGTGGAAGCGATCGAGAGGCGGACAGTTTTTGACCTGGCAAGGAAGTATGAAAACACTAACCTCTTTGAATGGATACCCCGGGACTGAACTCACCAACGATGAATGACAGTTGGAGGGGGGAGAGATGGCTCAGTCACACAGTCAGTGGTTCCTATGCATGAAAGCTTTTGCCTTCATTGAATAGTTGCCAGGCTAACTTATCATGTCACCGCCCCCCAGTGTTCGTTTCTACCTGTCAAGCTCTCCCGGTGACGGAAGCTGTAACAGCTGGAACCAACCTATCCCAGCTACATGGTTTAAAACTGATAAATTGAACTGATGAGTCCCAATAAGAGCGAAACTAGAAGTGTGCTGTCTAGAGTACTCACTGGCCTTGTGAGTAGTAGTGAAGCCGTACTGATGTGTTCTGGCGTCCCCTCCCGACAACGTGCAAGATGATGGGTGAGTCATGTTTTAGTGCTTTTGACCGTGAGGAACAAAAACGTTAAAAGTAAGGTACTCGACATACGTATGGCGGTAGTCAGCTTTGTACCCACCGCTCAGTGTGACGAGGTTTGAAATCGTCTTCTCATGAGTTGTGATCAGCAACTACTTTTCTCAATATGTGGACCGAAGCACGAAACAGGCCTCTGCAGGAACCGTTTGGGACAGAAAGCCACTGAAATTCTCATCCTTGTCAGTCTGACATGGACTGCAAAAATAATTCTGCGCCATTGTCCTGTAGGTTTTGCTTGGACAATAAAAATCCTCACCCTGCATCGTGTATCACTCTATTTTTGGTGTACTGGCCCCAAAAGGAATCCAACGGAGCAAGCTGTGTGCTATTATAGAAATTCATTGATTACTATCGATTGTAGTCGGCGGTTGCACCACCACATGCCTCAATTGATCGTCCCAACTCAGGTCACAGTGTGCTTTTTTTTATCGTACGCCCTGCTGCACTTTTCTGCTTCAGTTCATATCACTGCGAGGCCAAAGAAACAGTTAGTAAGTCTGTCGCCGTAGTCTCTTCATAGCTTGGACGAAGTACTGGATGAATGGTCATTTATGCTTACCACAGCAAGACCTGTGATTAGTTCCTGCGCCAGTAAGACTACTGCGATTGGTGTACTCCCAGGAAGTGATAATTTACTTGACCGCACTTCTCATTGTCCCCCAAACACAAGCGAATTACGACCGGGAACTTTGGACTAGAATAGAAAACGTACACATTAGTGATAAGCCGTTGTTCTCTTCCCGATGGATCATGAATTTGCAACATGTCACTTTCCCAAAAACTCTCAAGAGAATTCCCGTTGTATAAGCAACCCGAATAACCAGGTGTTTTGTTCTAAAGGCGCGAGATGGCCGAAGTGGTTAGAGCGCGAATTTACTGACCGGAAGGTCCATGGTTCGAATCCGACCTCCGCCTCTCGACTTACCCCGTCTAGGCTTGGGCAACCTGACAGTATCCCAGCCCTCGTGCCTCCTATGGGTGGCATGGCAGTTAGGCGCCGAAAGGGTGCTACAGCTGAACTTGCCTGGACACTCCTAACAAGAGGCCAGAGTTTGCCGTTTTTTGTGTTTACGACTTGGTTTAGGCACTACAACGGAATCGTTCAACC